TAAAATTCTTCTAAAAAGAAAACCTTTCTGTACATACGTCATGACATTGAAATCAGGAGAAGCATCCAAGTCTTGCAATCAAGTTAAACACAGTCACAGTAATAAAACATTTAACTCTGGGTCACACGCTGCAGAACATTTATCTTAAATTGCAGCCTTTGTGGTTTGCTAATTGTTTCACATTTCAGTTTGCAATCAAATAATTGCCCCTATGCATAAGCTCATCAAACATCATGAACCCAAAAGAATGATGAAGGTGGAAGACGTGCCACAGTAACACGTACAAAAAAGTACCAGCAGGATGAAGGAGATGTCAGACAACCACAGTCTGCACACTGCATGCACTCACTCCGGCCTGATGCTTGCTGTGGCTCCTTTGTTTGTGCTCACCTTGTATCATTAGTTACATCGGAAGGTCTAATTGGCCAAAATATATGAAGACATTGTGGGTGTAGAATCGCACTCTAAAGCCTGAACCATGACATAGCTGCCATAAAATTAAATTTTTTAAAAAAACTGAAGTGTTTATTGAAAAAAATCAAATTAGAATTTGCATGTATGAGTTTTATTTGCATGATTTTTGCTACTTCCGGCATTTTTGGTGCATGAATTACTGATCCATGGTAGATTTATCTGTGCACTAAATGTGTTTGATTGTATACATTAAAAAAAATGATCACGCTGATGATGTAGAGGTCTGAAAAACTGGGAAAGGTGAGCGGGAACTCTAGAGTAAAGTGAAACTAAAGCAAGTGATTGTCTGTTCGCATAAGAAGGAGGCATGTATGAGTGGAAATCTGGTCCAAGAGAAACAGAATTTGAAACACTCAACTTGAAGAATTGTTCAAGGTTATTCAAGACATTCAAACTGCTCAGCTTTAACCTGATTTAATTTTCTTAACTTCAAATTTCAAGCGTTCAGTTTCTCGTGGCACCAGTTTCTGCCCGTAGGCACAGAGCTACTGTATCTGAGCTTCTGGGAGTTGTGTTTGTGTGACTTCACAAGTTATACGTCCAGTATTCAGTCTGCCATATAGATATGTTATAGTGATGAAAGATGCTTCACCGACTCCTGAGTTAAAACATCTGTGTGCTATCTTTATCGGCTAGCTGCCAACTTTGCTGTTTGGGTGACTTATCGTAGCTCTGACATGAAAAACAGTTTATGAGAACAGCGAGAGTGTTTGTGGTGATTCTCTGTGGGTTCGTCACTATGACTCACAGCATTTTGTCTTTTGATGCATTATTTGGTAGCTTTAAAACACTGAATAGTGCAGCTCTGGCAAAGCATCAGTGGAGTTACGGCACTTCTTCTGACATTGTTCCTCCTCCAGAATCCGTCCTCTAAAATACAAATATCTCATTTTACTTTTTCTATTACATGCTAATTTTACCGCAACAGGAATACTGTGTGGGCTGCACAGCTGTGTCCTTTTCACACCGTACTATTGCTTGCATTTATTATTGGTTATTTACATTAAAGCTGCTGCTGGTGAGTCAGAATCAGAACACAGACTGCACTGATTTTAAGTTTGAAATTGGAACCATAGTGGCTTGACGGCTGTTTGCACCTTTTCTGTATTGTCATCCTAAATTCTAAATGTTTTGTTACCACTAGATTATATTTCCTACGATGCACTCAGTGCCTGAAAAGGTTCCACTAGAGTCGGTGTAAATATCCATCGGTGGAGGGCAACATGTGTTCTTATTGTATTCATGACAGGGGGGTGGAGGAGAGCTAAAGATTCAGCTGATAATCCCACTAATCCTACAGGCTACCGTCTTAAATTGCCCCGGCTCCTTCTCAATGGGCCGAACATTTGAGCGCACACACTCACACACACACACACGGACACACAGAATTCCAGGCAAGCAGACGCTCCAATTAGTACTCATCAGGCTTCCTTGCATCGACGCAGAGTGATTCTGGGCCAGGAGCGGTCCCTCGGAGAGCCACCTAGCCAAGAGAGGAGGAGGAGGAAAAAGACACATCGGTGTATTTATAGAAAAATGAGGCCTCACAATACCCTTTTTGGAGAGAGAATTATTAAGGAACCGAGGTGCGCGGGTGCATGCGTCCCAGTTTTCTGATTAACACTGTGCAAGCAGGCTGGCCCTAGGATGAATCAGGGATGAGACGCAGGACTAACTCGTTGACACACTCACAGAGAGACTGCACTGGCTTTTCATGCACACTCACCCTTTGCTCATGAGGAAGGCTGCTGTGGTTTCAGGGAGGAGGAATGGGGCAATGTTTTGAGTTTTCTGTTTGACTTTGGGTTGTGGGTGGTCAGGGAGGAGTTGTGTGTTTTGTTTTTTTGGTGTTTTTTTTTTGACATTATATTTAAGAAGACAGATTGGATAACAGCCTGCTAGCAGGCCGCCTGCTATTTGACATTCAAGATGAAGAAGTTTTTGCAAAACAAAAAAGGCCGATACTCTTTTCGGCAGAGCAAACGGGGCTCTCGGTATCCATCTAAAGATTTCTGTAAGTCTTTTTTTATCAGCTTCGTCCACTGTGTGAATCCTGCTGTGCTCTGGCTCTGGGGGGGCTGTGCAGCACATCATTTGCCTCCAGCTGAGCCAGAGGGTTTATTGCAGATTACATTTCGCAAAACATCTTCATTTTTTTTTGTAAATCTGTGTTTGTCATATTAGAGATGGTTTTGAGAGCTGTCACATTTGGGTTAATTCTTTCTCGTTTAAATGTGTCAGTCCAATGTGGCCTTAAAGTGCCTTTATATTTGCCATTTTACTCATCTGTTTGTAATGTAATCCTGTTTTCTACCTGCTTAAGACTCATCAGGGCTGTCAGCTGTGTGACTTTGTTGCATAATTACTGTTCAGCAGGAAAGACGTGCGTGTGCGCTGAGTGGAAAAAAAAAAAAAATTGCTGGAGGAACTTTTGTCTCTAAAATTAATCAAGGTCACAATCTCTGCAAATTTGATTGGCTGCCATGGAGTTTATGAACCAGGTCAGGGACCGCTGAGTGTGTCACGGTTCAGGGTAGAGGGTTACAGAGCTACACTCGATGTTACGACTTGAGACACGGCAGATGAAAGGAGGAAGGAGACTGGAACAACTGCGCCAAATTTAATCTCTTTAAAACATCCTGTTATATTTTAAGGTTTTTGTATAATGTCAATAGACTCAAATGCATCGGTTGAATTAGGTACGTGTTTGTGTTGGAATTGATCTCTTTTCCTTTTTCAGCATGCTGTCTTGTAACCTCACAGAGAGAGTGCATTAGGAATTGTAGCACAGCACTCCACATTTGCAAACTTGTTGGAGATGAAGTCGTCTGAGGTCACTTCACTCTCTCCTCCTCCCTTCTCTCAAGTCCTCAGCATGCCGACGTCCAACCAGGGCTGGCCTGAGGATTTCGGCTTCCAGCTGGGTGGGACTGGACCCAGCTACATCCTGTCCGTGGAGGAGGGCAGCAGCGCCCACCTGGCAGGGTTGCAGGCGGGGGATCAGGTCCTGGAGATCGAGGGCCACAATGTGTCGACGCTGGGACCGCAGGCCGTCATCGCCATCGCCCAGACGCAGAAGAACATCCCTCCCAGCATCGGAGTGGTGTCCCGCATTCAGCAGGTCTGACAGCTCTTCAGTCCATTAAAGCAAGGTTGCATATGTAGGTTAACCCTTTATGGGGCAAGTGACCATATTTGGTAACTTCCTTGGACGTTCAACATGTCCACCCTGTGCCTCTCCTTGAGGTTGAACAACCATGTGCGCTTTGATTTAGTTTTTATATTAGTGCCAATATCACTACCTTTCGAAAAATGTCACTAAACAAATGTTCCAGACATTTTATAAACGCTTTGTTACTGGTTTGCATTGAACTCCACTTTGATTTATTGTTTGAGATTAGTGCCAAAACCACCACCCCAAGAACAATGTTACTAAATGAACTGTCCAAGCACTTTATAAATACTTTGTTACTGGTTGTGTATGTAGCATTACCTCAAACTAAAATGTTTCTATATAAATGTTTTCTTGCAGTTTGTTACTTTATCTTATATTTATTATAAATTCCCTTTTTTTTTGACCGTAGACGGGCAAGTTACCATATATGGTAGCTTTGTTAATCTTGATTTGCAACTTTTTTTTTTTTTTTTTTTTTAATCTCAAAAAGTGCAAATATCTTGAAACATCCTTTAATAACACTCTAGGGTTGAAATTCTCATTGTTCAGGTATTTCAAGGAGTGCCCTATAAAGGGTTAGCACCTGTGGAGTTACGTACCACAGTAATCTACAGCCCAAGACGTAGGTTGGTGAATGTTGGGGGTAGACTCTGTGGTTAAACATTAAGGCAACTTTTTTCTTGATTCTCGCACAGATGGACATCATACCAGGGCCGGACGGTCGCTTTGGGTTTACCATCGTGGGAGATTGCCCTCTGCTGGTGGAGGACTGCTCTCCTTGTTCGCCAGCCGGACGCGCAGGTCTGAGGGCCGGAGATTATGTCATGGAGGTGAACGGCATCCCCGTAAGGCAGCACGAGATGGCCGCAGCGCTGATCAAGGCCTCCCAGGGCAGGACGCTCCGTCTGGGGGTGCTGTGCCTCGGCCCGAGACAGAAACGTAGCGTCAGCATAGAGGAAAGTCAGATGGGAGGAGAGGGGGCGAGGCTGGACCGCAAGCACAAGGCTCTGGAGTTCAACAGGAAGGTACGTTCAAATACACAGTCACAGCTGAGGGATGTAGGATGGTTGTTAGTGCTGGTCCAGCTGAGTTGGGGAGGTTGAAGTTTCTGAAAATGTATGTTCTCCTTTGACTTCTTCCTCTGAGTTCTTTTTCCTGCCAGAGTTGCAACAGTGTTGGTTATTTCACATGACATATTTCTGTTTTTGTGTTTCTCTGATCCCTTCCTACTGTTGTGGACTTGTTTGGGGGGAAAAAAACGATCACGTCTAGTGTTTCTATGCTCTGAAAACTCTTGGCTCAGCTTTAATTTGAATTAAAGAGTTGTGGAGTTGCAACCTTACGCTTCCAAGGAGATGCTACTGTCAGTCAACAGAGATCATGCAATACCCACATGGTCCTGTTAAATTGTGTAACCTGAAGTTTGGCCTGAATAGAGAGAATATAAGGATGTTTTTATACTTCAAGTTCTGCTATTGCTTATGAAGTCATGAATATTTAATCTTATAGAGAAATAAGTGTAGTTGGACAATAAGTGTTCAAGTTCAAGTTTTTGAAAGACCAGAATAAAAAGAAAAGTTTTCTCATTAAAGGACCAAAATCTTTAGCACCCAGCTGATATATGTTTTCATACAATGTGTAGGTGTACTTGTTTAGTCAGTTTATAGTGCGAACAACATTAAACAAGGCAAGACGAGACAACTCAGGTAATATAATGAAGTGATGTTCTAGTAGCAGTCTGGCACTCTGTCAAAAAAAGACACTACAAGGTCACGCTATCTACTCTGATTGTTATTTTTACCGACGTGTCCTCAAATGCCTCCCAGGCTCTCACTTCACTGTTGAATCTCCATCAGGTTGACCAGATTTTAGGCGATGAGCCCGAAGTGAAAGAGAGACTCTTCGCTGTGCTGAAGCAGTACGCAGCAGAGAAGAGAGTGGAGTGGTTGGCCTCTGTCCTGCCAGAGATACTCACCAGTGATGAGCATCGACAGCTCATCTCCAGCATCAGGTAGGAGTCAGAGGTTTTTTTGCTCTCGTTACACTGGATTGCCAAAGAGAGTAGAGACGAGAATTGGGGATAGAAAATAGAGAAAGGATTTAAAACATGGCTACAGCAGCTTTACTGCTGATTTTTTTTCTCTTCTTTTTATAAGTTAAAAAATAGATTATCTCAAAAAATTTGAAGCAAAATCGAAGCAAATCATCCATCACAGAATGGCACTAGCCACTGTGGCGTCACCCATTGGTCTGTAGATTACCAATTTGAAGCCTCAAGTTTTAAAATTCGGCATCTTGGTTTTTTGAAACAGAACGTGTGGAGCGACGGGTGGATCTGACATTAAGATCTGAACACGATGCACGGTGATACATTAAACTCTTGTCTGTCACAAGGTAGCTACACCACAAAGCATACCCTGATTTACTGTCTATTTTCCTCTAAATGCAACCAGAATTTATAAGAATTACCATCATGCTGTATCAAAGAAGACTTGAATCCAGTGATCAAAACCAGAAACTCATTAGGAAAATGTTTCCTGAGGTAATAAATCAGTTGAGAAGCAGAATCATTTAACCATAGACTTCTTTATAATCTGACAATTTTGGCAAACAGAGGAGTCGCCCCCTGCTGGCTGTTAAGTGGAATGCAAGTTTAATTGCTTTTTATTTTCAGGTAATTCCACTGCTTTTACTTTTCGGTTGCTATCTTGGTTGTTATAAGGACAAGCAATACATGCCGTATCTGTTTTTTTTTTCAGGGTGTTCTAATCTATGCAGATATTCCATCATTTGTTCTGATAGTACTTGCAATTTTCTTTTATTAGCCTTTATATAAAGGGGAAACAGCATTTTGTACTATAAAATTGTTGTGTTTTCTCAGCATATAGTGCAGCAGGTAGCAATATCTTTTCATGTTAGCATATAGGGAACATAGTAAGGAATCTGTCAATATTGAAACCATGATAGTGGAACACTGTATGACTCAGAAATGGGGAAAAATACATGCTTAGTGTCAAGGGGAAATGAATCTATTTTAGTCATTTAAGTGTTAACATACAGTAGACCTACTTGTAGAAGTGGCAAACCGGGCAGAGATGTCTATCATGTAATATGACATTAACATGTCATTGTACAGATATTAACATATCTGGATATTACCATATCTAGCCTTTCCTCTACAGACCCAGAGGCTACATCCATCATTTATATTCAGTCTATAGTGGACCCTCATCACGTCTTATTCCCCTCAGTGTCTCCTCATGTTTCCTGTCATTCTGTGTTCAGTCAGACTGTCCTCGAACTGTCCACTAAAGCCAAAACACCATCAAAGAAATAAGGATCAAGACAGTCAGTATTGCAGTTAGAGCTACTGCATGGCTCCATTATTACACCATATCTTTGTATTTTATCGCACACTCTCCACGTATCATTTTTAAACCCAGTGAAAACTAAAATAATCTGCAGGGATTGAATTCATAATGTCCACGTAAACAGGATTTTTCCTGTTGCTCATTCTGTTGCAGGGTGGATTAGCAAACCCACCATTATAAACCCACGCTGTAGGTTTAGGTGAGCCCCATCTGCCACCCGGGGGTAAATCCACGGCGACCCTCCAAGTCGCTTAAAGTCCCATCAGTGCTAGTGAAACCGAGAGTAGCAAACTGACATGGAGGGGCCCGAGCTTAGAGTTTTTAGCAGCAAATGAGGATTGGCAACGTGAGCTGCATTCACAGCGTGGAGGTGTCTCTGATGACGAGCCACAGGCAGATTTAGTCTCGTGGAAACATCATTCAGGGCTGCTCTGTCTCTGCAGCCTGTACAAAATATAAATAATTAAAAAAAAACAAAACCTGGATCTTTATCCAACAGGTTTTTTTTTTTAAGGAGTCTCTTTCTATGAGACGGAACAACGCCAGATAGCTGAACGTGAGAGACTGCCCAGGTAGCTGGGTGGTTGTCTGGGTGCCAACATAACCAGCATTTGCGCCTTTTCTCTCAATCCCCTGACGGTTTGTCAACAGATTGCAGCTCTTCCACAAGTGCAGCCAATCAAGCCTTTTCTTCTCTTACTACACAGGCTTCCTAATTCACTACTATTACACCACTTTTAACTCTTGGAGGTATTAATATTCTCTTAGAAGGGTTTCCATCGGTGTGGAGATAACTTCTGTGGCGTCCCTACCTGAAATGACGTGAGGCAGCAGGATTTTTCCGCCTTAAATTGGTCATGAATAATTCAGAACATCCTCCACTGAGAACTCTTGGTTGCTGTTTGTATAATGAAGGACCCCTCCTATCTGCATGAGCACCAATAACAACATTAATACCAACTCTCTGTGGTCTTCCATCCCCCACCCAACTCTCTCACCTCTCTCTCTCTCTCTCTCTCTCTCTCTTTCTCTGAAGGGGGTTTTGTGTTTTGCTCTGATGGATTTTCTTCTCATTATTCTGCTCAGAGCTCGGGCTGCTCCCGGTCGTCTCTGCGTAGTGACCGTTTTCCCTTGACACTTGGTAAAGACAGCCTCCTTCGTGCACCAAGGTCCCACCAATATCTTTCATCTTCCTGAGAGAAGCAGCAGTAGATGCTGTTCTGCTCACTACTACTACTGTAGATGGTGCAACTTGTGCATATGCTTGGTTGATATAAAGCTATGGGTGACAGCTAAAAAAAAAAGGATGAATTGTCTGGGGTGAGTATATCTATGCGGCTGATTTTGTTTGTTTTTGTTGTAAAGTTTTGTTCTGTGCGGTTGTGGACATTTTATCGGCTTAAGTCTTGCAAGGTGCAGGTGTGATATTGTGTGAGATGTGGGAGGTGAGTAAATGTTTATTGCAATGTAATTTAGCTTTTAGTCTCAGTAAGTTGCCTTTTAAGGTCTCTTCAAGGCAATTTAGAGCTTTAATACCATAGTTTGGGATTTCGTTTGGACTCTGTGGACGTGTTCGTGCAGTTTGAAGCACATTTAGATGGATGGAAACTGCTTTACAATACAATAAGCTGCTGTTGTGCCTGTCTCTAAGTAGCTGAAGTGATTCCCTGCTTTTAGGATGTAATCTCTTTTCCATCATGTTGACTCTCAGATTACATAATTATTCCTTTTCAACTTTCTCTGCCTCTCTGTGCCTGCTTTGAAAATACTTTTGACTTCCCTGTAAAGCATCAGATCATTCCTGCACAGCTTTAAACCCAACCATTCCACCGTGTCTTCCTACAGCGGTAACTGTGCCTTTTTATAAAACAACTGTGATCCAGCCTTGATTGCGATATTAAGCCACAATAATTCAATTAGCGGCTCCTCTTCATCTGCGCTACATGCTGTGTGAAAGCATTCAGCGGTGTTGATTAATGACTGCGTTTAATGTCGACTGCAGGAGTCAGTGACTGGAGCTTGTTTGCAACTATTCCTGAGCTGCGCGAGGAGAGGCAGTGTCTCATAAGAGCATACTGCTCTCACTGAAGTGGGTGATGAATCACTGAATACTAAACACGGTAAATTCATGAATTATAGAGAAACAAGTGGCTTCTTTTCATTAATACACACCGTGCTGTCATTTAATGTGCAGTTGGCATTTTTGTTTAAACAGTGAAAGTAACACATTCAAGAAAAAAACTGAATGCTTGACCCCCATAATGAGGAGGTCTGGTGGATCTGTTGTGCTATGGGAGTCGTTTTGCTCTCATGTTAGAGGGAAAAGTCAATGCAAAGTTGTTCTGAGGGATCAGTTTTATCCTATGACGAAACATATGAAGTTCGGGATTTTCAGAAACTAAATAATATCAATCAAACTGAAGTTGAGTGGATTTGACTCAGTAGAAATGACATGACACAAATAGAGATAACGTCAGGGGTTAGGGCGTCTGTGGCTCAGCTGGTAGAGCGGCTGTCCTCTGATCTGTAAGGCTGGCAGTTCGATCCCCTGCTCCTCCACAGTTGAAGTGTCCTTGGGCAAGACACTGAACCTGAAGCGACTTGCATGGTAGCTCTGTGTGAATGGGTGAATGAGAAACACACTGTAAAGCGCTTTGAGTGCCGCTAAGGTAGAAAAACGCTATTTAAGTGCAGACCATTTAAGTTTGATTGATATTGTCTCAGGTAGATGGAGTTATCTGTTTTTGCAAATGAACTCTTCATATCTATCCTGATGACAATGCTCCCATCCATAGAGAATGAAGGATCTCTAAAAGGTTAATAAAACCATTAGAATCCTACATTATTGCCTTCCCAGTGACTAAATTTCAACCCAGCTGAACTCTTATGGTAGATTTTAAACCTCCGTATTAGACGGTGCTCTCTACTGCCGTCATTAAATCAACAAATGAAGGAATATCTTTTGGAAAGATGGCGTTCATCCCTCCTGTAGAGTTCACAGACGTAAGAGAATCAAAGCTTAGAAGCATTAAAGCTGTTGTGGCAGCACACGGGGGCCCACCACCTTAATAAGACACTTTATGTTGGGTTTTCCTTTAATCTGTCACCCTCTGTATATGTGATGTGGATGTTTATACAAAAAAAAACTTTTAGTAATAAGTTGAAAACATCCAGGAGGTTATAATGAACTCACAACACAAACCTGCTGTAAAAAATAAATAACAAAAACATACCAAGCTACCTGTTTATATATGAACCTTTCTTTAATATCACTTTAACGACTCTCTGAAGCCTCTGAGGCTGTCAGTGTTTCCTCCCGGAGCTGCTGCGTTCAGGTGTGCTGCTGCCTGCCCTTATAGATTTTCTGTTAAAAGAGCTCATGTTAAGCTTGGTAGTTCTTTTTTCCTTTTCTGTGTGATGGCTTGTTTTGTGCAAGTAAAAGACTTACAAAGCCCAAAGTTCATGCCAGTATAGGATATGAAACGTCCCCTTTTTTTTTTAATTCACCGGATGTTTTTTCAGCTGATCTTATGCTATAGTCACTGTTTTTATTTGCATTTCTTTTATGACCATAGAGGTACTTTGAGCACACGTATTCTTTACCTCATACTGCAGTGTGTACGTCCCTGCATCAGACTTT